GTGCTGCTAACCGGACGGGCACGCGAGTGGTATTGGGTCCACGTGCGTCACTGCAGGGTGGAGAGAGCTGCGTGCCGCGCTGATGGATAGGTTCCGAGGCCACCAGACGGAGCACCACCAGATGCATCAGCTTCTGCAGAGGGAGCAATAGCCTGGAGAAGCCGTGGAGGACTATGTCCATGCGATGCAGCAGCTAGCCTCTCGCCTAAAAAAAACCACTGTCAGAGCGACAGATGGTAAAAATAATTAAAAAGGGCTTGAGAGAGAGTATCGCAAGATTCGTTTACGCAATGGATGTGATGACTGTGGACGAGTTGAGGGAAGAGTGCTGCGAGGTGGAGCGCAATTTTGGACGACGAGGACGCGCGGCCTATGCGCACCCGATGCGTTATCCTCCGGCGGAGAAGGCCAGGGTTAGCGAGGCAGCTGGTCCCGACACTGCAGAGGATTCCCAGTGGCTAGGTGGAGGAGTTGCAAGCGAAGACCCGAAATCCGTTCCGAGCGGGCTGCTGGAATTGCGGAGCCGTAGACCACGGGTTCCGTGACTGTGCGGCAACAGAACGGCGCCTGTTCTGCTACCGATGCGGAAGACCAGACACCGTGTCTCCGAAATGTCCGGATTGCGCGGAAAACGGTCGGCTGGGCGATCCGAGGGCGGGAAGGATGCGTCCAGACAAGAGTCCCGCGAAGCAGTAAATGTTCTAGGACTAAAAAAAGGTTTAGTATTTACGAGTAGTAATAAGAACAATTTAAAATACTTATCTTATGAGGAAAAAATGCGCAGGTACTTGGAGGCCAGAAATTGGATCTCCTCCAACCATCAATTGAGCGGGATGAGATTGGTGTCTCGGAAAGTCCAGAAGGCCAGGGATCGATTCCGGAAGAGACGAGCGAGGAGGCGAGAAGTGGTTGCCGCTGTGAAGCGCAGTGGAACGGGAGACCCTCGACCATTCGCTGAAGTCCGGATCCTGACCCAACAGCTGACTGGATTGTTGGACACGGGAGCGAGTGTCAGCCTGCTGGGCAAAGGTGGAAGAGAGCTGGTCGAGGCGTTGGATGTGCCTGTCCAGAAATACCTGTCCGTAGTCCGAACGGCGTCTGGAGAGGACCGCTCGATTATAGGACGCGTCGAGCTACCTGTGGAGTACAGAGGACAGATAAAGCGGATCCTGTTCTATGTATGTCCTTACCTGGAGCAGGAAGCCTATTTTGGAGTGGACTTCTGGCAGGCGTTTGGCTTGGCTCCGGCGGTGATAGGCCACAGCGACCCGGAAAGCGTGAAGAAGGCAGACGAAATCCACGCTAGGGATATGGAGCACTACGCCGAACAGGAAGATGACGACGAGGAGAAACCGGATCCCGAATCCTGGACCTTATCCGAGGCCGACGCACGACAGCTCGCGGAGATCCAGGAGGTGTTTCTCACATTTGAGAAGGATGGTCTGGGAACGACCAATCTGGAAAGGCACACGATCGAGCTGATTGAGGGAGCCAAGGTCTTCAAGGATCGGCCATATCCCATGTCTCCAGCGAAGCAGAAGGTTGTCGAGGATGAGGTGGACAAGATGCTAGCGCTCGGAGTCATCGAGGAGAGCATGAGCCCGTGGAGCAACCGGACGACGGTAGTGTCGAGACCTGGGAAAGATCGGTTCTGCTTAGACGCCCGCAAATTGAACGATCTGACCATTAAAGACGCTTACCCGCTGCCTAGTATCGACGGAATCCTGTCCAGAATCGACCAAACGTTTTACATTTCCAGCGTGGATTTGAAGTTCGCATTTTGGCAGATCGAGTTGGACCCGAAAAGCAAGGAACTGACGGCCTTTACGGTTCCTGGTCGGCCTCTCTACCAGTTCCGGGTGATGCCCTTCGGACTTTGCAACGCGGCGCAGCGGTTGGTGAGACTTATGGACCGAGTGATCCCAGCTGAGATCCGTTCCAACGTCTTTGTCTACCTAGATGATCTGCTGATACTGGCTCCAGATATCCAGACCCATTTCAGGTACCTTCGGCGAGTCGCAGAATGCCTGAAAGCAGCGGGCTTAACCATCGGTATGAGTAAGTCAAAGTTTTGCTTCAAATCGTTGACCTACCTGGGTTTTATCGTTGGTGGAGGTCGTCTACGAATGGATCCGGGACGAGTAGCAGCGATCAGGAGGATGCCAGAGCCTAGGACGATGAAGGAGGTGAGAGCGTTTCTTGGGACTGCTGGATGGTACCGCCGGTTCATAAAGAACTTTGCGACGTTGGCCGCCCCGCTCACTGAATCGTTGAAGAAAACTGGAAACTCGAAGTTTTCATTGAGTCCAGAGGCCCAGCTTGCGGTAGAAGCTTTGAAGATGGCGTTAACGACTGCACCAGTCCTGGTGCATGCGGACTTCAAGAGACGCTTCTTTATTCAGTGCGATGCGTCACACGTCGGAGTCGGGGCGGTGCTTTTCCAGCGAGACGACGACGGACAAGAGCAGCCAATTGCCTTTTTCTCGGCCAAGATGAATAAACATCAGGTAAATTACACCGTGACCGAGAAAGAGTGTCTCGCGGCGCTCATGGCAATTCGGAAGTTCCGGCCGTATGTCGAAAGGATGCCATTCACCTGCATCACGGACCATGCCAGCTTGAAGTGGCTCATGTCCATGAAGGATCTGTCGGGACGGTTGGCGAGGTGGTCACTGCAGCTTCAAGGATTCCACTTCAACATCGAGAATCGAAAAGGAAGCGAGAACGTTGTGGCAGACACCCTTTCACGGTGTGTGGAGGAGCTCGTAGTGAATCCGACGGATTTGTTGGGTTTCGAAACCACCGAGTTCGCTGGAGAAAGTTACCTCGAGTTAGTGAAGGATGTGGAAGACAACTTGGAAAACTTACCGGACTTGAAGATCGAGGATGGTCTCATCTTCAAGAGAGTCTCTTCATCAAATTTGGACGACGAGGTGGAAGGTTCGGAGTGGAAACTGTGGATCCCACAGAGTCTAACCCACAGCCTAATTGAGCGTGCACATACGGACCCAACAGCAGCTCATGGCGGAATGGAAAAGACTCTGGAAATCCTCCGACGCCAGTTCTACTGGCCAGGCATGGTTCTCCAAGTCCGCGAGTTGGTGCGTGGATGTGATGTCTGCAAGGAGTCCAAAGCGCCAATTTTCCGGATGCAGGTCGGTATTGGAGAAAGAGTCCAGACGGAACACCATTCCAGAAGCTGTATATGGACTTCTTGGGGAAATATCCGAGGTCAAAGAAAGGGTCATGCCTGGATTTTTATCGTGGTGGACCATTTCTCGAAATTCGTATTCTTGAAGGCCATGAAGGAAGCTACCTCCTCGAACGTCATCGATTTCCTCATCCACGAGGTATTTTATAAATTTGGCGTCCCGGAGGTAATACACTCAGACAATGGTCGGCAGTTCACGTCGAAGATCTTCCAGGAGGCGATGGAGAGTTTCGGTATCTCACATCTAAAGACTCCGGTAACGAGTAAATCGAAGCGTGTTGGCCGCAATCTGGAGCTTTTTAAATGGGGACCATCGAGACTGGGAGGTGTACCTTCCTGAGATTGAGGTAGCCCTTCGGCGACAGGAGAAGCGCCTTTCTTTACAGTGTTCGGACATCATATGTTCCTGAAAGGCGCCAACTATAGGTTAGCGAGGAAGCTAAAGTCCTTGTGTGACCACGAGATGACGGGGATGAAGACGGCGGACAAACTCCGAGTGATCCAGGAAAAGGTCCGGAAGAATCTGGAGGCAACCTATGACCGAAGCCGCAAGCGATATGACAAACGGGCTCGAAACTTCATGGCCAAGCCAGGTCAGGAGGTATACCACCGAAACTTCGTTCTTAGTGATTTTGGCAAGTCGTTCAACGCTAAGTTCGCTAAGAAATTCCTTAAGGCTCGAGTGGTGAAAGCTGTTGGTAACAATGCCTATGAGTTGGAAGACCTGCAAGGATGCCACCTTGGAGTTTACCACGCCAAGGATATCCGGATGTAATCTGAAAAAAAGGTAGCACAAAGTAAAGGAGCGCAAGAAAAAACAAAGGCAGTACTTCCCGGCATGCGTGGGCCCCGCGTTGAGGACCGTATGGAACTGCAAGCTGCGTAAATGTCCAGGTTCCACTAGGAAAGGATCCAAATGCTCCCAATGATTTCGTCGAGTGGCTTGAAATCCGATGGCGTCTCTCTAAATCCTTGGGTGGTGTTGCATTTCAAGTTGGAACCGGCCGGGAGCAGATCGAAATACGAGGGCAAAAGCCTATCGATAAAAGTTTGAAGGTGGGTGGCAACTCCCCTACCTTCTGAAGTGGCGCCCCCTTCTGCTCATGCCCTTGGCTATCTAGCTATTTAAACTAGCCCGGTTCGCTCTGGGTATGGCTAGGATGGCCTTGGATTCGTCCAATGACCCACTTTTGGGAGAGGAAAAGGGAACATGGCGTGATGAGCATGACATTGCGTAGGTCAGGGATAGGGTTTATGGATTTTGATATTTCTTAGCTTAGAATAGCCCAAGAAAAAGTGAGAGTGCGATTAGTGCAAGTAAAGTTAGAAAATTAAGTGGAAATTTATTTATTTTAGGTCCACCGGGGACCCTAGTACATAGGGCCCCGGCAGTTTTCTGTGATTTTCTTCGTTTTTTTTCACAAATTGCTCGGAGGAAGGGGAGCAGCCCTCGTGGTAGTGCTCAGCGGCAACAGCCACGGGCAGCAACAGCCACCGGCAGCAGCAACAGCCACCGGCAGCAGCAGCCCGGCAGCAGCAACAGCCACCGGCAGCAGCAACAGCCACCGGCAGCAGCAACAGCCACCGGCAGCAGCAACAGCCACGGCAGCAGCACAGCCGCAGGCGCACAACAGCCCAGGCGGCAGCCACAGCCACAGCCATCACAAACCGCCACAGGCATCACCATCGGTGAGTCCGTTCCTGGGTCGTAGAACCCGAGCAGCACAACGTCGCGAACAGGACGCGACTCCCATACCACGCAGCATCTCCGACGTCACGGTCTGCAGAGGCCGAGGCAGGGCGTGATACCGGTCCCAAGTTGTCCTTCGGCGACCCGCAGCCAGCTTACTCGCCGCGCCGGTGATTAGATTTTAAGATTAATTTTTGTATTTGTAAATTTGCGTACTCGCCTCGTCCGTTTCTGCACGTCTTCGTGATTCCGCGAGCTTGAGTCTGGCCTTGCGCTAACTCGGGGTCTGAAATTGCGAAAGCGCGCTTAGCAGAACTCAATACAATTTATTTATTTATATTTACCTGTCCCTTTTGTGTCCTCTTGGAGCTCCAGCAGGACAGCCACTTGGCTTAAACTTTTCTGCGGGGCCAAATTTCCGATTTTAAGAAGGCCTTGCAGCTGGTGCAGTCCAGGCCGGGTAGTGGTTTTGCCCTGACCTGTAAGCAATGGTATAAAGAGGAGAAGATAACGTTTAACGTTTAACGTTTATATTTGGCAATCTTATATATATATTTATAAATAAATGTACTTAGAATGGAGATGAAGATGATGTGGGCCTAAGGCAATTTCCAGCGGGGAGATGAACCGGTCGTAGTCTGGCCTGGCAGTGGCTCCGGCCTCGGAACATGGGTGGTACCTCCCTCGCTACGCTAGGGGCACCACAGGAAGGGTGGGTGCGCTGTGGCAGCCACATCCAATGCCACTTTTCCGTCCTATTTGTCCCGGTTTGTTTATTTTGCCTTGTTTACTTTTTTTTTGTTGTTAGAGATGTTAGTATTTGTAGTGTGAGACGTCGATAGTAATCGATATTTAATGTTGTGGGGCTGTAGGGACATTGGGGGAACTCCGCCCTGAGGATTTCGGAGCTAGCCGGGGCCGTCCCAGGGAGAACAATATGCAGTTCCATAACATCTTCGAATGTATATAGATTTCCATTTTTGTTTACTTGCAATATACACTCCCCGTTCTGAATAATCTTTGCGTGCTTTTCGTTAAAGTGCACCAAATTGCCTTTAGAAACAGTTTGACTTACGGACATAAAATTTCCCTTCATCTTAGGAACAAATAGGACATCGTTTAGTACAATTGTATATCGATCTGTCTTTAGCTTGACTACTCCTTTTCCCTCCGCCTGCAGAAATCCGTCTCCAGCTAATCCAATCGTCTCGGTATGCTTCTCCAGGGTTGTAAACAAGTCTTCATTACAGCACATGTGGCTTGTAGCTCCGCTATCCAAACACCATTTTGTGCGACCAAAGCTATCCGCATCCAGAGCTCCCAATAAGCTGCACTGCTTTTGACCAGTTAGAACTTGCTTCTTTTTTTCCAACCGACACTCGGCCTTGACATGTCCACGCTTGCCACAGTTTTAACATATGACATTCTTCCAATCTTTTTTGGAAACTGGCTTTGCAGTGTTTGCAACGAAAGCCTGTGCGTGCATGTCGCTCGTTCCAGATTGAGATCGTCTCTCTCCCTCTTCTTTGACCTTGATTCGCAGTACCTCGAATTCCGGCAGTGTGTCGCGCGTCTCGATGGCGACTACAAAATTTTCGTACTCCTTGGGAAGGCTTGATAGAAGAATTATTGCTCGCAGCTCCTCACTTATCTCAATTCCCACCGACGAGAGCTGATCCAAAACTTCGCTGAACGCATTAAGGTGACTGGAAACATTTTGGCCGTCTTCCATCTTCAAACTCAGCAACGTTTTGTAGAGTGATACTTTTCTGACTGGACCACTCGGTTGATGCACCTCCTTCAGTTTTGTCCAAGCCTCAAATGATGTCGTACACGTTTTGATGTAACTTAACTGCGATGTTTTAACGCTGAGGGTAATCATGGCCAGAGCCTTACTGTCCCATCTTGGCCAATCGTCGTTTTCACCAGCATCTTCCCGTTTCAACTCGCCTGACGCCACATCCCATAGCTCCGCGTGAACCAGTACGCTGCGCATCTGAATATGCCAAGAATCATAATTCTTTTCTTCCAATTTGTCGATTTGGTATAGCGAACTCATGTTGAAACTTTCAATAAAACGATCCGATTTCGAAGAAACTGACTGCTTGCATTCGTAACGCAAGAGCCGCTGCTATTTCACAACTTCTCGAAATATTTTTTACCTCAAAAATCACGTGGCCCATACTTGTATATGTATGTGTGTGCCCTGGGCCCATAACCTCTTGATGTTATTCCCGCTTGAGTAAAAGAAAGAACGTCCAGCTTGGTTGAGTATATAGAAACGGAATACCTTTTATTCGATACTTATAGTGACTTCAAAACAAACTATCGATACAAATTAAGTTCTAGAGGTTACAGTGTTGTTACGATAGTTTCAATATAAATCAACATAGTCTCCTTTTCTAAATTTTTTAATAATTCTACCTTTATTTTTAATTTGTAAATGTTCTTCCCCGATCCGAAATAATTACCTTAGGTCGACTATAAGAATTAAAAAAACTTATGAAATATTCTTTGCGCTTTTAGAATCAGTTGAAAATCCATCAACCGGTGGTAAAACATGTTTATTCTGTCCGTTTTTAATGTTTACAGGAGAAATATGTACTATGTTAAATGGTTTGTCAGCTTTTGGTATACTCTTTAGTAAACCTTCACGTTTTCCACATTTCTATGAAAATGTTATACATTTCAAATATATATGTATAAACTTTCTTTCCTAAAAAAAGCTGTAAACTTCTTTTGTATTTTTTGGAATCGGGAAGTTTGTTATCGCTTCTGTATTTTTTTTATCTGGCTAATACAGACATACCACAATGTTCTTCTATAAACCTACACTTCTCAATCGTAAGTTCCACTTTATTTCTTATTAATTTTTGAAAAACTTCCGACAACGTAATCAAATGTTCCTTAACTGACTTTGATGCTATCATTATATCATCCAGGTATATTGCAACTTTTCCAGCTCTAATCATATCATCAAAGACCCTATTTACAAATCTTTGAAATGTGGCTGGCGCATTTTTCAGACCGAATGGCAATTCAACACGTATACTTTAAAGAATCCACGGGAACTTCAATTTGATGAAAAGCCCTTTTTAGTTTAAACAGTGTAAATATTTCTTTGTTTGCAATCAATCAGATCCTCGATCAACGGTAAAGGGTAATTATCAACACATAATCTAATATAGCCTGTCATTTTTTACCAATACAATTGAAGAAGCTTACTCTGACTGACTTGGCCTATTAATTTATTATTTTTTTTTCTGCGTACGATAATCGGCAGGGCTTATAATTAATTATAATTTCAAATGGCAGTTATTTAGTTACTGGCCTCTTAGGAACTTCAGAATTTAAGTAATACCGCTGTAACTTAAAATAATAATTTTATATTTGTTAATAAATAACGTACTTTACCCTTTATATAATTAATTAGGTTTCGACATACATTCATCATATTTGTTAAGGTGCATCTTGTTGTCTTGACTTACATTTTTTGGTTGTTTAATACTTCTAAGTTGTCTTATAATAATCAAAATAATTCTTGTATTTTTGTTCACTTCTGTCTTTTCTTACTTTGTCTTCTAAATTCAATTTATTCTTTCTTTTCTAAAAAAATCTGTCCCCAATATTGCGTGACATGCCATTGTTTTATTCCGTAAAACAAAAAATTTTTTTATTAAATTAATGGTTTTCAAATATGATATTACATTTAATGATTCCAATGATGATCAGTTTACCCTAATTTATTCCATTGTAGTTTTAAAAAAAATTATATTATTATATATTATAAGGGAAATTGGACTTCCAGTGTCAATTAGGGTTTCTAATGAGAGGATAAAATTATTAGTTTGTTTAGTAAATAAATACACTATCTTTCTTACAAATTAATTTGAAATGTTTGAACTCACCCGTGAGTTTTCCTCAAACTGGCTCGAAGAGGTCACTGAAACGTACGATAAAACTGTAGCGGTGGTCTAACGTTTGTATCAGTAGGTTCTTTCAGAGATGTACGCGGATCATCCACGTTATACAATAAAGGAAAAGTAGTTGGAAAAGCAGAAAAGTCAA